CCCAGGCCGTTGTCCCTGCTTTCTTTCTGCCCATCCCTCTTTCCCAGTGTTGTTCTACCAAGGCACAGACTGGTTCTTCCGCTCTGAGGGTGGGTCCAGGCTGGTATGTTGGATCCTGGGGAGGGACTGGGGGCCTGAAAATAGCAGGGGGAGGGTTGCCTCAAGACAACCCCCAGGAACTGGTGAGAAGGGATGAACCCCCGGTACTCTCCAGAGTCCTGGAGATTCTCCCTTCCCTGGAAGCAGAGATGTGAAACTGGAATTCTCAGGTGCCTGAGGAGCTCCCAGTCTCAAAGGACTCTGGTGTCTTACCCACCCACCAGGGCGGACCTTGAAGAGTGTATCAGGGGTGGCAGTCTTGGAAATGTCCAGGACTGGGATGGTGAGAGGCCTTTGGAAACAGAAATGATTTCTATTTCTGTAAACAGCAATGTTTACTAATTTATTTTTTAGTATCTTTTAAATAGGGATCCCAGGTTGATGGGAGGTTGAAGTCCTCCATTCCCCAGTTGCCCCAGCTACCTCTGCTAGGAGAGACCATGTAAGAGTCCATGTGGATGTTTGGCTGGGGGATGCTTCTTGGTGTCTGGGGAATGGTGTGAATCTGCTTTGCAGGTCCTGTTGCTTGGTTTGGAACCCTGCACTTGTGTGGTAGCCTTTCTTCCCATTTGGATTCCTACGTGGGGAGGGTAACTTCTTGGCTAGCTCTCACAGTGCGATTGGTTTAAAAATTTGGAAACAACCATAAAAAAAACAGAAACAAAGGGGTGGTCCAGGTTAGTTCCCCCTTCACTCAGAGGGTGAACCCAAATGACTTTGGGTGAGATAGGTCCAAAACAACATTCAGGGAAATAGGGCATGTGGTTCCAGCTGCCCACTCCAAGTAATCTCAGGTGTGGTAGATTCTGTTCATTTCTTAATGGCTAACTAGAGGATTATTTCTTTTGGGATCTGTGCATTTTTGTTTCAGCAACAGGTGAGTTGGTGGTTTGAGGAGGGGAAGGTGAGAGTGACTTTTTCCAAAGAGCTGGCTGTCCTGGATATGGGGGAAGGAAGAGCCAGGTGAAAGCTATTATCAAATAAAAGGACCCTTTTCCCCTGCCCTTGGAATCCCTCCAAGTTACACCCTCAGGACCCCTCTTCCCTAGTGCAGGACTTGAGCATCAACAGTATTTATTTGTTTCTATATGTATCTCTGCTGCTATGATGAAATTGTCGGCCACTTTGCTTATGTATGTGTGAATGTGTATTCATGTGACCCTTCCATTAGAGATGGGGCTGAAAGGCATTTCCTGCTCTGGTAAGGTTCTCCTTGGCCCCCTCCTGAAAATCTTGTAATAGTTCATCAGTCATACTTGTGGAGGATGCCATAATCTCGAAGGACTATAACAGGCATCTAGTTAGCAAACTGCTTTCCGCTATTTTGGAGATGAAGACACTGAAACCTAGATAAGCTCAAAGTCACGTGCTAAATTGCTGGCAAAGCCATAGCTAGAAGTTAGGTACCTCGCTTTCTAAGTGACTCTTTCACGCTTGGTTATCCTATCTGCTTTCACTCTGAGCCCTTAGTCAAAGGACACCTGCCACCAGTTGCCCGCCCTCCCTATTCTCGATCACTTCTACGTTCCTTCAAATGTTTGGTCCCTGCTGAATCCTTCGCTTGTGTTGTGTTTAACCTGAAAGCCCTTTTCTTAGCAGGTTGAGTCCATTCCCTCCTTCCACATCATGTGGACTTAAAGTGGGAATGACTCTTTGGCATCTTGGGAGAGATTTTATCTGTTGACCTGGCAGATTAGTTTTCAGTGCCAATTCTATTCTCTTCTGGTTCTGGGCATTCCAGCTTCCTCGAGTGAGTGAGTGATACGAACCTGATGTTGGGATTGTACTAAGTGCTCCTATGCTAAGTGAGGGTCGTGTCCTTAAAAAGGACCCAAAGGCTATGGCTTGTGATCCCGAAGAGGTTCATTGTTTTCTGATGTGAACTAAGCAGGGCAGGTGGATCTTCTTGAGTTACATATGGGAAGAGGAGGCTCCCAATTGTGGAGGTGGGTTTTGGTGGTGGGAAGAGTTCTCTCTTTGCTCCGTTTGTCTCCTCAGCTGGAACTGGATAGGAAGGGCACTCTGGGACCCCTTGAGGACTATGATTTTCCCTTTCAGTAGAAGATCTGCCATTTGGTAGGTGGACCAATGACGCTAACAGGAGAGAGACTGCCACTGACTGTTCTGGAATCGGGCTCAAAAAGCTTGGTTTTTCTAACCACCCTTTGATAAATAACTTTTCATTCTCAAGCTCCCAAGTAGTGTCCTTTTTTGGGGTGTTCTACCTTGGGGGCTTTTGTCTGGGGATGGCTTCTCACAATCAAAATGCGGCATGTCTGTCTTTGGCCATACCATCCTGAACGCGCCCAATCTTGTCTAAATGCGGCATGTCTTTCAGTGACTCCTCCTAGGACTTGCAGTGGTGGAGAAGAAAATACCCAGAACACTAGAGTAGCCACATAATGGAGGCAAGATTCATAGGCCGGTCTTTCTTAGTCTTGGGTACTGCTGCTTCCCTTTTCACTCCAGTGGCCAAACAGTTCTTGAGGAGCAGTTATTAGTGAAATGACCTGGAATGGGTTTCCTAGTTTTAGTGGTGCTTCTATTGGTTCTTTTTGTTAATCAGATGGAACTCAGTGAGTGAATGTATCTGGGGATTGGTTGGGGTCAGCCTGAACCTCTGGCCCATTACCCTACCCCTGTCATCCTGAGTTCTAATGTAGGAATGACCTAGTAACAGAATCTATTAATAACACTCTTCCTGACATCTGGGTTGAAAGCTGGGAATGAATTCCAGGTCATACCCAGGGTGTGAGAGAATTGGATCCCCTACCATTGTTGGGAAGAGGTGAAAAGTACAGGCCTTTCCCCCACCCATGGGGACAAGGATCTGTCATTTGTCCCTATTTCCCTTTTCTTCTCCAAGTAGAGAACCATATTGGAATATCAGTTTTGACCTCTGTCTCTACCTCTTATTCATTTCTCCCAAAGGAAGATTGTGTTCTCTGATGGAGACATAGGAAAGAGAGTCATTGTACACACACACACACACACACACACACACACACACACACACTCTCTCTCTCTCTCTCTCTCTCTCTCTCTCTCTCTCTTTCTCTCTCTTTTTCAACTCTCTTCTCTCTTTTGCACCCCTTTGCCTATAATGTGTATGCATTCCACTCAGATCCAGCTTTTATATGCACCTGCTGAGGCCCAGGCCTGCCTTCCAGAGGCAGGTGTGAAGAACAGCTCTCTCTGTCTCCACTTTTGGAGCAACTATGCCCCTTTGCAGCTCTCCAGGTAAGTGTTTCCTTTGTATATTCTCCTTTGGGTGGCTAATCCCAATACCAGGAATTGGGAAGGGTGGGAGAGGCAGTGGAGAGATGGTATTAGAAAGCCCAGTTTTGTTCATAGGTACAGATTCATCAACAAAATACTGGCATGTTGATACTCATCTGTCTGTTTCCTCTACTTACTACTCAGTTGATTGAGTACCTAGAGGGGAAAGGAATGTGATGAATTTTCTCTCTTAAGCCCCAACACATGCAAATACACATTGTCTGTTAAATCTTGAGGAAACAGGCACTCTGACTAGAATTAGGAGACCAAGATAAGATTGACATCTGGTATACCAGGGTACAGGGCTTTAGTGATCTTGAGCCTTTTAGTTCTTTGGCTTTTCCAAGTTATAGCAGCTTATGGTAGCTAGTGTGTACAGCCAAGTCACTATTTTTTAGAGGTACTAGACATAGGACTTTGCAAAAGTAGGCTACATAGGCTACTCTGGCTGATCTTGGTTCATATGATTTAGTCGAGACAGGCTTGCTACAAAGGGAAAGGTGCTACTGAATGAAAAAATATGTACTTCCTATATTCTCAGTTCCTGTAAACAGGGACTTTTAAGGTGCAATGACACAAGTTTCACATGTACTTCACAAGTTTGTGAGACTCTATCCCTTATATTGTGCTGAGGATGAGCAGGGGGCATTAGATCAATCGCACCCAATTGGTTCCCTTTTGTCTTTGTTTGAATTGCATCCTTTTATAAGGCCAACAAGAGACCTATAGGAGGGGCTAAGTTCTTTAATTCACATGGGGTATCCAGAGTCACCTTCTGTGTGCCAAGTTGGTCCCAGATATGTTGACTATATAACACCTTCAGGGACTCAAGCTGTGTGGTCAACTACAGAAGTGTGGTGGATTTTAATCCTAAATAGGAAAGGAGGGATGCAAATATTTGTTACATCAGGGTTTGGGGTAGAGAGAAGCAATACTATTATAATCCCCAAAGCTAAGAAGAGTATTAAAAAGGGTTATGCCTGGTTTCTTCTCTCCCTGGAATCAGGTCTATTTAGGTAATCAAGTAGAAGCCATATTTGTTCCAAGTATATATTTAGATTTTGAAGTCAAAACAGAAGCAGTGGGAAGGTAAAAAATGAATAAAGGAAGATAGGCCAGTTAAGCTGGAGGAAGAAAAGGATTTCTTAAGAAGAAAGGCTGTGTTCTTAAAGAACAGAATTGACAGTACCAA